AAATCTGAATTCACAAGCAGAAAGCTGAAAGAGAACTTCCTCCTAAAATCAATCGTTGGCTGTGAGAGTTGCCATATGGTTTTCGACAAGCTGCAAAGATGAGAAGCCTGTAAACACAAGGCAGTTAAACAGGCCTGGAGGGGAGATGTATCCAGGGGGGGAAACAGAAATCGCTGGAAGAAAAACGGAAACAGGAAGAAGAAAGCCAGCGTGGAATCTAACCTCCCTGCCTTCCCCCAAGCGTGCTCAGACACACAAAGCCAGCAGACCTGATGGGACCAGCGGCTACAGAACAGCAAACTCATGCCGTGACAGCTTCCGAGGTTTACAGCTACACAGCATTCCCCATTGGAAGTGGCGCAAAAACTTTTAAAGTGTTTCTGTAAAGTTAATTTGTGGGGAAATGCTGTACCTGGATCAAAATTACCTGTTTTTAGTTACCCCTGGCTCTCTTTCCTGTGGGCTGAAGTAGCTTCGGAAAACTGTTTCTTAAAAAAAAAAATTGAAATCTGTATCTTGCTGTAGGGCATTTTGACTTCAATGACATTAATCAAAATGCAAACACCGCTTAACCAAACCCACAAATAATCAAGGATATATTCAATCAAAAATGATCTCATCAGCTCTGATTGCTAGGCATTTAACCACTGCAGCGTTAGAAGAAAATGAGTGATCAAGTGGGTCCCACTGAGGTCAAATTCTGAAATTTGGTTCTTTGAGACAACCTGCAACCCAGCACAAACACAGACACCCCAGGACTGTAAAGCTGCTTCACCAACCACAGGGACAGGACAAGACACAAAACTGAATTTTTATCATTTGAAGAATCAAATTAAAATACGCCCATTCGCTATAACTCAAGAGCACTACAGAGAGCGACAGACACGAACAAGTTCACTGCACCTAACTACCCACATGGTGACTGCTGGTGGTTTTGGCTGCCTCCGAAAGGTGACCACGGTTACGGGTGATGGCTGCCACCACCTTGGCTGCGACTCCAACTCAACCCCTGACACCACGCAGCAGGGTCACCCCCAGGCTGGAACACAGGGCGTCGGCATGCCATCCGCGGCAAGGCACCAAGGAGCCTAACCACAGCGGCAAGGAGCTCCCCACAGCCCGTTTTAAGGAGGGCAGGACTTCTACAAGGCTATGAAACAGAAAGAAAAAAAAAAAGGAGGATAAAACTTCAATAAAAACTGAAAAAAAGATGGACAGAAAAAAATCCAGTGGCAATGAAACACTCTGTCCTCGCACAGTCACACACGGGGTGACGCCACTGCCCATCTGCCACGGACCGGAGCAGTTTCTAACGGCAGCAAAGTAAAACATTTTCTGTTAGTGGGACAAAAAATGTTGGTTGTATTGAAGCTTAGAATGAAAGCCACGCTGTGATTTACATGGCAGGATTGGGAAACTGAATGAGTTTTGTGAATTTAGAAGACCACATTGCAGAAGAGGTTTAGAATTACAATACCTGCCCTGTCAGCTCGAAATGGTTTAATTTCCTGGGTATCTTTAATGAAACAGCCCCACGAGTTCTTCAATTGGGAGTCCTGGGTTGTGTTTTAGACCTGGTGTTTAACCTTTAGGGCAAGTCGCTTGGTATCGCTCTGTTTCTGCTTACCCATCTGTAAAATGAGAACGAACATATTTACCTACCTCGGCAGGGTTTGCTGGGACGGGCAGACGACGGCGGGTTTCCACTCCGGCACTGCAAACAGCGAGGGCAAAGCGTTCTTGAGGGACACCGGTACCTGGTAAAGATTTACGCGTGAGTTTACGTGTTGCACGTGTGCAAGCAAAAGACGGGTGTATACACCCGGGCATCTGCCCCGGCCTGCGCTCTTCAAGCGTGTCCATCCTTCGTACCCGCTCCTTGGCGTTTATCTACCAGCACCCCTCTACCCTGGGTGCCGACGGGACTCTGCTGCCAGC